GATGTCGAATCTGGCATCTTTTACACATCCTTTTCACTCACTCATATTAATTTCAAAGCCTAACAGAGGGCTCTTATTCCATTACAACCGTCCCACACAGACAATAGAACAACTAAAACCGTGTATGACAATCATCGGATCATTCTAGTTACCAAACTTTCTGCTGCCATGCGATGCCAGAGAACAGTCCGACAAAGAGCGTACCTTCCCACGGCGACAAGCCAACACTGAGCATTTGCCTCGTTCCTGGTGCATCCGAAAATCTATCCTTCAAACTGATATAGCTGCTTCCCGATCGCTGTTTTTGCGGACTATCTTTTACCGAAGATCTCTTCAGCTCGCCAAAACGTCGAGTGGTCCATCACCATGGCGGCATATAACAACAAAAAGTGTTAGGATCTAAACAATTCAGTGGTCTGAAATCGACGGTCTGTTTTCTTCTGTTGCGTTTTTGATGCGATACCAGTGGATTTAGAGCTTTTGGTTGCCATGACATGAGCATGGGTGAAGTGCAACGGTACGGCATGGATGCCAAATTCAAAATCAGCTCTTAGAATATCTCATGATCGATCTTATTTCAAAAAGAAAATTTGAGGCCATCTAAGTCAGCAACGTCGGCAGACAAGAGGTCACAAACGTAGTGCAAACCATTGATATCCGATAACACCTATTTTTACGCCGACTTGCCCTTGAGGGTCTTCACGACTTTGCATCGCCCATCTCTGACGTTTCAGGCTGGGTCAGATCAGCCGGGTCCGCTTGCATTAAAACTATGTAGTGATTGAGTGGGTATTAATGTCATTGTGTGCACCAAGTTATAAGCAGACTTGCGTTCGACTCGGTTTTTTAGCCGGCTCATGACTCATTCACAAATTTTGTGATCCATTTAAGCAAATTGTTCAGTACATGAACGAGGTGCATTATTCACACAGACAAGACAGGAGTAATAGCCTTATTCCCCGGAGAAAAAAAACAGGAGAATGGAGAGAAAGATGGGTCGATATTTCGGCAGCAAGTCTTTATTTTTACAATGGCAGAAGTCTTCTGCTCAACCCATCAACCCATCTATACCTCCATTCTCTTGGTTTTCTCCGAGGAATATTATTACTGTCTGATCCAATTAAGCTGATTGAGTCATAGCCGTTTCATTTCTTTTTTACTCCTCTCAGTTCCGACTCATCACTTGCGTTGAATAATGCGGCTCATGACTCAAACGGCTTGCAAAATGAAAGATCTGATTCCGTTCTGGCTCGTTGCCTTACAGTTGCCTTGTTGCCTTACAGTTACAGTTGCCTCGTTGCCTTGCCGATATTATATACATATGTATATAATATATATACATATATATATATATATATATATATATATATATATATATATATATATATATATATATATGCGTAGGCATCATAGTATGAAAAATAGGTAGAAATAGCCTGGTAGCAAGCTCGTAGTTTGAGCCTAACAGATGCAGTGCAGCGAACAATACAGACTTTCCCGTAACCTGTTACCAACCAGTTTTCTCAAGTATCAGCTGTAGGCCAGCAGGGAGAGCCTTAGAGCTTTTAGGTTAAAGAAAAAACTTTAGATCCTCCGCATACTGTACTACACAGCTAGACTTAAATAGGTGTATTTAAAAAGGCATTGCAATTTAACATATTCTTTTGCTCATTTCAAGTCATTGGGTAAGCTACACTTGTGTAAGAAGCATTGTAAAACTCAGGGCAGCTTAACGCGGTCAAAACGCCGATTGCTAAAGCTGCCCTCAGCATGTCAAAAGTCAGGTTATGCTCAACAGAAACCACGTGTGTCATTAAATTCACAAAAAGTAATCGGTCGAATGGCAGCAACAGCACTGTCTTATGAAAAGTATGCACTGAGATGCACAGGTCTGAAAGTAGCTCAGCGATTGCCATTAAAAGGCTTCAAACAGGGTTTAGATACAAACATGCAACCGATATCACAGCTGGTATTAGCACCAACAATTAAAATGCCAGGCGTTAGCGTAAAAGAAGTGCATGTCCACATAATAAGGTTTGCATGGCACCCAAGACCTACGAAAGCGGTGCAGACAAATACCAGGCATCCGGCGTCGTAAAGGTGCGGTTTTATTTCGGGCGTAGAGCTGTGCAGTGAGCGGTGATGGTCTATGTTCGTCTCATGTGATGGAAGCAATGTTGTTAATATCTCCTGCCGATCTGACAGCGAGAAGATCCCACCTCAGATGTCTCCCCCCCCCCCCCCCCCCCCCGACAGCATTGGTGGTCTGTGATCGTCTGATGTGACGGAAGCGACATTGCTAGTGCCTCTTACCGGATTGACATCGAGGAGACCCCGTCTCAGACGTCCCTTCCCCCCCCCCCCCCGCACCATACGCACAGCGGGAGAGGCGAGACGGGTAGCAGGCCGAGGGTATGAGCGGCGGGAAAGGCGAGACGGGTGGCAGGCCGGGGGTATGGGTAGCGGGGAGAGGCAGGACGGGTAGCAGGCCGAGGGTATGAGCAGCGGGGAGAGGCGAGACGGGTAGCAGGCCGAGGGTATGAGCAGCGGGGAAAGGCGAGACGGGTAGCAGGCCGGGGGTATGGGCGGCGGGGAGTTGCGGGACGGTTAGCAGACTGGGGGAACGGGCAGCGGGGAGAGGTGGGACGGGTAGCAGGCCGGGGGTATGTGCAGCGGGGAGTTGCGGGACGGGTAGCAGACTGGGGGAACGGGCAGCGGGGAGAGGTGGGACGGGTAGCAAGCCGGCGGACGGGCAGCGGGGAGAGGTGGGACGGGTAGCAGGCCGGGGGTATGTGCAGCGGGGAGTTGCGGGACGGGTAGCAGACTGGGGGAACGGGCAGCGGGGAGAGGTGGGACGGGTAGCAGGCCGGCGGACGGGCAGCGGGGAGAGGCGGGACGGGCAGCGGGGAGTTGCGGGATGGGTAGCAGGCCGGCGGACGGGCGGCGGGGAGTTGCGGGACGGGTAGCAGGCCGGCGGACGGGCAGCAGACCGACCCTCCCACACGGCGGCAGAGGTCGGCCGTCTTGCCCCCTGGTAGTAAGCGGCGGCAGGAGTCGTCCCATGACGGTTTTAGTGCGATGAAACGCGCGACAGCATCTGCAGCGGCATGCAGAAAATGCGATGAATTTGGGTGTCGTGGTGTGCGGTTTGTGCGCTAGTAAATTCAGTGTGTAAAGATGACAAGGGGGCTTGGCTATCCAAACACCGTAGAGAATGCGCATCCGAATGAGATGTGCTCCATATATGTCAATCCATCGGCTGGATACGCAACCGAGAGAGATGGGAACATCTTGCCTAGTTATTAAGTTATGTATAGACGTTATGTTGTCAGCTATGACAGTTGCGTATATGACAGTTACGTTGTCTGAGCCCGTGAGCTGAGTCATTGTGAGCCTGGGCGCCACCGATCCCAGAAGTCGCAGCCGGCGTGTGTATTCCGGGTAAGGCGCTGGCGGCTGACAGATACCGAGTGTGAGCACAGCAGCTGCCACAATAACCCATTGATTCCGCCGCACGCCAGACGCTTGACGCCATCCGAACTTCGGCGATTGTCGACACCGCATAGCTTCGAAACGTTCTATACTGTCCCGGCAGGGCCAGTGGAAGGACAAGCATGGACAAGCGACTCTGATCGAACGTGTCACAATCGCTGCACTGCGCATTGATGGCCGAACGGTGGAATGCTTTGAGACAACGCAACAGCTTTGTTTCGTGAAGGGGCGCACCAAGTTGTTCTTGTCGAACACGTATGTGATGAGTAAGCTGTTTTCGCAACAGTTGGAAGTTGCGAAGTGTTCATGCAACAGAGTTGAAGTCAGCCGTGACACGAATAAGGCGCAGACCGGTTACCGACCGTGACGGAGCGCCAACAGTGTAGTGCGCGGCGGTATCTCCAGGAGAGCGTACGTCGCTGGGTGGGGGGCGGTACTCTCGTTCCTGTGCCACCGCGTGTGAATGACGTGAACATCTGTCGATTTCCGCGTCACGTCACGGCATAGCCCTCCTCCCCGTCCCTCTACAACCCCTCACTGGACCGGTTTCAAAACCCGGATAATTCATGTCAAGGTTATGGTGACATTCAGACGCAAGTGATTTATTTCCAAGCGCTGGCCAAACTCAGACGAGACATCAAACGCCGCTGAGCCGTCGCACCGTAACGAATGTGACGTCACGTGGCATCGCACCGTGACGAATGCCTTTCAAGACGTACACTGATCTGACGCGCCGATATCTAGCGTCCAGCTGGTCCCCCTCAAAGCTGTTTTGGGTTTGACTTTGTCGTTGTAATGGCAGATATGGTCAGCGGTGCGAAATCATACATGAATTGACATAGCGGTCGGGTCGATGCTGGCGTGGTGCCGTGGCCGCCTGGGGCATCAGTAGCGGGATCTGCACACTCTCTGTAGTGCATGCTGCCGGTGACCGGTCGCCGAGAGGTCGTCAAGAGCTGCCAGCCCCGCGTTACCGACTCACATCGAACCGATGCTGGGCCGACAACCGCCAACCAAAGCACAGGGCGAAACCTCAGCCACCACTGCGACTTGGCGTCTGAGGTGACCCACGTGCATCTGGTGCGGGCAGAACGCGCATAAAACCATGTGAAACTTGTCATGGTTGGGTACTGCTATGCGATCGGTGGGTACGCGCAACGGAAATGATCGTTGTCAAGTCACTTTCACTGGGCATAGTAGGGGAACCCCCTGACCTCCACTGGTGAAGGTTTCCGTCTTTACTTACTGGAATCTCCAGTCACCTTGGTCTTTGTCGGAAGTTCGTTCCCAGAACTTGATCCTGGTGTGCCAATTTTGCTGCCCCTCCCCCCCCCCCCGCCGACCGACTTCACTAGACCACACCTCCATGAATTTCCATACCCGGACCCTGTGCAGTCTCCCTGACCTTTATCAAGGTGATCTCAGTGCATTACCTTCCCAGATCTCGTCTGACCCGGAACACTGTACGCTTAACTTCTCCGACCTGTCGCCATCTGTCCTCGACTGACCTTGACCTCGGTGGGCGGCAGGTCATGGCTTAGCAGCGTGTCCGGCTGGCTCAGCTGGGAGGAGATGATCTTCAGCACACGCAGCACGGCCGCTGGCGCCGAGTCGTGTGAGTAGTGCGTGCTGAGCTCCATCTCGCACGTGGACATGCTCACGCGCCAGGCGGTGGCCCTATCTGCGCACGGCTGGCCCCAGTGCGGCTCCGTCGCCACCATGTAGAAACCCTGCGCCGTGGCGAACGATGGTGTTTGAGGTAGGCGAACAGCGCGGATTCAGAATGCCACGCAACACATCAGAATGCCACACAGCACACCAGGACAGCCGCCGGACTGCCATGGAGAGCCGTCGGCCACACATGCTAGCTTTAGACAACCACCAGGTGTAAGTGGTCGACTTGGTGCGTGCGTTCGAGGCGTAGTTGAGATAAACGCAAATGGCTAGCAATGAGCAGAACAAACTGGCAAATGTTAGAAGTCAAAAACTTTTGCGGGGCAGCGGCCGGTCGTCCGAGGCACGCATATGCAGCTAAATTCGACCAGCGCCATTTTTCTCCGAGAACGGCTAGATAGGCTTCATCCTTCGGAGCAGGTCCGAGTGATATGTGCACACTGTTCAAGCCCCGACAATGCTAGATTCCTGTGGCAGTGCAGTGCTCCTATAAACCAGACCAGCTCCACGGTTGCGCACCACACCGTCCGCGTGTGAAATGTCCGTTCGATATGAAACCGTGACCCAGCCCGGATACAGGTACTTTACCGGACGGCGGCCGCTGCCCGGACACTGCAGCCTGTCCGGGTGGCAGTGCCATGCGTCCTTCTCCCCCCCCCCCCCCCCCCCCCGGCGCGCCACTAAAGCCCCTTCGGTCACGTGAGTCGGCAGGACCTGCGGCCCGGCATCCGTGACCAACAATAACTGATCACGACCGCCTGGCGTGTGACGTCACGTGACCTGTTTGTCCTCGGCTGCCGCGGACGGGGCGCTACGTCCCGCCAGCGCTGTTTGTATGACCCCTGGGTGGAGATGAGGCCGTTTGTATGATCCCTGAATGGAGAGGAGGCGGGTTGCAGCGGTAGGAAAACTGATCTACACCGTGTCTGGCAGGAGCGAATGGAGAGGGAGATATTTCGAATGTGTGGCCAAGCAGCTTCCTACTACTGAGTAGAGAAACTCGTTGAGAAAAAAGCACAGGGCAGGTGAAGTGTCGCAGCGGAACGACGTCGCAATGGTTATAGGCAGAACATATCAGTGTAGAAAGCAGGACGCATCACAGCTGGACGGTGCGACTCGCCATGTTGGAAGACAGGGCGGGAAACTAGATAGACCAGCGGTGCATATACCTATCCACAAGCGGAGACAACACCTCGTGGGCCCAGGGCACACGCCATCCCGTAGGCAAGGCCAGAAGGCGCCCACCTTGCAGGCAGCGCGATGAAAGAGCAGGGCGTCAATGTTGCAAAGTGGCACCCGGGCGGGGAAGTCGGCGCGCTCCGGCCAGCCCTGCAGTCCGACGGCCAGCGTCAGGTCCACAGACACGTGCGTCGGCGGCGAGCGGCCGTCGACTCCGCCCGGAAACTCGACGGCCAGCTTCACCGACGGACCGTCGCAGGTGACGGTAATGTTCAGCTGGCGCGGGTCGGGGAACAGATCGCTCCTGGCGTTACCTGCGCGACACAGAGGGCCGATGTCAGGGGATCGGACCAGCGGGTGGCGAAGCTGGCCCGCTGAGTAGTAGCAGTAGTACGAATGCGATGTCCATGTCTGTGAATGACGTACCTCGTTGCTTCCTCTGTACACACGTGCATTTTTTGTCACTTGCATGTCTCCTTTCCTCTTTCTATCTTTATCTCAAGCCCTTTCTCTCTTCTTCCCCTCCTACCCCCCCCCCTCTCTCCCTTCCCCCCCCCTCTCCGACTCTCTCTCTCTCTCTCCTCTCTCTTCTATGCTCTCTCTCTCTTCTTCTCTCTCTCTCTCTCTTTCTCCTCCTATCTATCCTCTCTATCTCTTCTCCCTCTCTCTCTATCTCTATCTCTCGCTCTCTCTCCTCTCTCTCTCCTCTCTCTCTCTATCTTCTCTCTCTCTCTCTCTCTCTCTCTCTCTCTCTCTCTCTCTCTCTCTCTCCTACGACTGACCAATCGCCAGAAAGATTCGCTGTTCGGGGGGCAGCTGCAGGATATAGTGCAGAACACCCACGTCCACGATCTTGCCGGAGCAGCCGCACAGTGATGCCTCCTGGATATCCCGCATGTTCGAGATCGGCTCGGCCACCGCCTCTCGCACCAGGGACAGGAAGCAGTCTCGTAGCTTGTCCCTGAACGTGCTGGACGCGTCAAAGAACTACCGATGACATGATGAACCCACCGTGCACCTGCTTCACGCGATGCATTATCACCTTTATACCGTGTAGCAGTTCAGTTAGCGTGGGTGGCATTTTAGCCTTCAACTGATTCGTTTTTTACTTTCACTATGCATCTGTACCACGTCGCGGTCTAGCAATATTGACATTATATGCTACTGGACCTCTAACCTTATCTAACGGATAGCATGTACCATTGGACCTCTAACCAGATACAACGACATCACATACCCACTGGACTTCTAACCTTATCCAACAGGCATTCTCTGTTAAGACAATACCAAGCACCAACGAACCCACGCTATCCACATAAAGGCACTGAGGGCTACCGTGCGCTGCCCTCGCCTTCGCTCCGTGCCGTGCGCCAGGCTCGGCCAGGAGTCAAGGCACGTCCACCCACCGCTTCAGCAGACCTTCGCTGTCGACGAACTCGGCCCAGAGTTGCCGGCTGTCTGGTGAGAGCAGGAGGCGGCCGAACCCGTCTGGAGTGCCGTTGTCCTCGAGCAGCTGGCAGGGCGGCTCAGCGGCGTCGCCCGGGTACAGCGGCGGCCACGACAGACCGTCCAGCCGCACCATGTAGTCGTACTCGTCCGGCTCGTTCACCTGCCGCCGACACGCACGAGCCAATGCAGGTGACTGCAGGTCACTGATAACTTCTGACGGTCACTGAAGTTAACTGAAGAGCACTTCTGACCACTGAAGTTAACTGAAGAGCACTCCGGATCACAGAAGTTAACTGAAGAGCACTCCGGACCACTGAAGTTGACTGAAGAACACTCCGGACCACCGAAGTTGACTGAAGAGCACTCTGGACCACTGAAGTTAACTGAAGAGCACTCCGGACCACTGAAGTTTGACTGAAGGGCACTCCGGACCACTGAAGTTAACTGAAGAGCACTCCTGACCACTGAAGTTAACTGGAAGCCATTGCAGGAAATTCGGGGAGAACTGGTTCCGGTCACTGCAAGTCACTGAAAACCAGGGCGGGTAACTGTTCTGTTTGTTTACTGTTCACAGCAGATCCTTTGAGACCTCGTAAGATCAAATGCTATTGTTGGAGCCATACGACACGACATTATGCCAACTGGGATATTGTCGTGTCGCATGTGTTGTGCCTGATAAAAATACACGAGGAATAAGGTTATTGGTACCGTCTTATCTATATAGCGGTTAATCGTGGAGAGAGACTACGAGACGTCGGGTGTTGGAAAAATTGAAGTGATAAGCTGCATTGCTACGCAAGTTCTTATGCCGAATGCAAAATGTTCCACCCAGCCTAGTCTAACGTTGGTTCAACAGACTGAAACTCGACATTCTCGACAAGTCACTGCTCTAGCGATTTAAGCTTAGACCTTCTATTCTAGAGGCAGCTTATGTTGGCAAAAGCATTGATTGTGCCGGTGTTTACATACCACTACGGATATAACTTTTGAGGCATTGTTTTAACAGGACGTATTTTCAGACTGCGAAGAAATGGGCATATTTCATTCCCTGAGGCACTGAGTCATGAGCTGAGTGGTCTGGAGTAGCGGTCTTCGTGGGGCGGATACAATTTGCGAGCATACGGCTGGTAACAGAGATTTCGCAAAGAGTGGTATAAATGTGTTAAGGAAAGCCTCAAAATATTGTGATTGTTTTTATGTTTTTAAAATAGCTCTTCGTAACGTTCTCTCGTCCGTCATGCACAAATGGCGTCACGGACCAACGCTGATGTCAGCTGGCCACGTGAAATTTGACGCGCGGCTGTTAGCGGGGCCGCATCACCGCATCAAATTTGGGACGGAACCTGACCGGCGGGGCGCCATCAGTGCGTGCACACGTGTCTCATTTCTTGAATGTGGAAAACACGAAATTCGTCGACTGACAAAGGTCGCTAAAAGGCCTGGAGAAACCCGGCTCACGACTCTGTAAGGGTGGTGGTAATGGGGGGGGGGGGGGATGTCTCAGCGAAACTGGATCAACACTTCAAATCGAAAAAGAACCGGCATAAGTGTCGGTAAAAAAGCAAATCGATGCGCACAACCGCGCATGTGCGCTCGAGCTCAAAGATAAGATTCAAAGATTTTGAGGCGTTTCCCGGACTTGTGTTTGACCTGGACTACTCAAGCAGATAACGACGTGAAGCCGACTGCACCATGCAGATAACGACGTGAAGCTGACTGCACCATGCAGATAACGACGTGAAGCCGACTGCACCATGCAGATAACGACGTAAAGCCGACTGCACCATGCAGATGCGCGTCGCGTTGGAAACATATTTTCGAAAAGAACTGGCTGGCACCTAAGCGGGGTAAGATGCTGCCAGGAAAGTGACACAGACGTAGGGCCCAGTTCACAATGTGTGATATCCGCCCATTTTTTGCGTTCATTACCATAGTTTGGTTTCATTTGCTTAAAAGTCTGTCACAGCAACATACCCCATTTTCACATGTTCAAAATGTTGTGCATATTTGCTGGCCTACCACCCATTACACATTGTCACTGAGCCTTTGCCAGTTTGCGCCGGCGGTCCCCGCCGCGGAGCGTGTTCGGGCCGGCGGTCCCAGCGCGAAGCGTGTTCGGGCCGGCGGTCCCCGCCGCGGAGCGTGTTCGGGCCGGCGGTCCCAGCGCGAAGCGTGTTCGGGCCGGCGGTCCCCGGCGCGGGGTGTGTTCGGGCCGGCGCTCCCCGCCGCGGAGCGTGGTCGGGCGCACCGCTGGGCCTTTGGAGCCGAGGGTTGAAGCTAAAAAAGACTGACACGATCGGCTGAGACGGCAATATGTGATTGCGGTGATGCTCGTATCTGTTTCCGTGTGTAGTTAGCCACCCGCTGTCGAGTGCAATAGCTGGACTGGCTGTTTCACGCATAGCGTGCGTCACACATTGGCGCAGCGGATATTTAGGTGTGTGGAGGGACCTTGCATGAAGACAGGTGACGTGTGGAGGAGACTCCGTGGCTGTAGTGATGCGGCACCAAAAACTATTTCACCGAGACGAAGGCGTGTTTGTATTGGACATTTCTATTCTGCTTTACAGCTGGCCACGCACGCACCACCGCGGCCACGCACTGCGTTACCCAGGTTTGAATTGCTAGGCCTCAGTAATACGCCTCAAGCCTTATGAAAATATCGCCGAGGCAGTTAACTACACCACACGTGTCCCCCCCATCCGCCGACCGCACTTAAACGGTCACGAGCCACGCCACACATGGGCATGTAACGTGGTTCGGCTCGCGCGCAGCACGCGCCGGGGTCACCCATAGCGGGGGCGGGGCTGGAGGCACGTACCCCGAACGTGGCGGCCCGGGTCCGGAGCCGAACGGACCCAACAATGCGGCTGACCTTCAGCTCTGTTCCCGGTACATTGTGCGACGCGAAGGGTGGCGCAAAAGTCTGCAAACGAATCGCGCCGGCAGGGAACAAACACCTCCCGATGAAGGCAAACAGACCGGCCGGCCGAAACGAGCATCTGGTGGTGACGTGGCCAGCGTTCTAATGGCGCTACCTGGAAATCGCACCATGTGTGGACCAGTGAATACAGGAAACGCATTGCGTCGTGATGGCTTACCCAAATCTGACTAACGTGCACGAGCACCTGCCTAAATCTGATCCAGAATGGAAACTACCTGTCTATCGGCGTATCACTTTTGATCTCGCCTTTCTGACGGCCATATCAGGCCCATATATTTTGTTGTCAAATGACCGCTCATCATGAAGGAAAACATCGTGATGAAATTAATGGTTAAGAATGGTTCTTTATAACATCACGACAGGTCAGATCAAGACAGATGACATCGCCATCCGTTTATGTTTCGGGAGATATGCTGGGACACGGCGTGCCATTGATGAAATGGTCTGCCACAAGGGTGTTACCTACCACCTACATACCAGCTATAGAGCTCCTTACGCTAGGTAATGTCATGGGTATCAGTTTGGAATGGGCAATAGTTTGGCTTGCCACGAAGTCGTGTATCAGCCTACCGCGATAGGTGACTGGTGCAATGCTGCGTCAGGAGACTCTGCGAAACTGGACAAAAGTTACACGCATTCAAGCGGGAGTGGGATGCGACGTCAATTGACGAACCCTTTGAAGTCGGGTGTTAAATTCGGTATGCTGTGCAATCCATGTTTTCATGTTGTATTACATATACCTATAAGGCAACGGTCACTCAAGCCACTTAGGAGTCCTAATAAAACTGAGCTGAACACAAAATGAAGCTGTGCCACTTCTACATGGATCATTTCGAGCTCGGAAATGCGTGGTAGTGGCTGCGGGAATGAGCAAAACGGAATCCATGTACGTATACACCATATTATATTGTAGAATTGCAGGCTGGGATGGGACCTTTTTGCTAAGAGCTCTTTTTGGAAAAGCTACCCCCTGCCCCCACCCGAAAATCCGTGGCACCGGCCGTAGCCGGAAATATTAGTGGAGCCAAGAAACCTGATCACATATATCCGACCCCGAAAACGCTCGGGTGGCTCAAAATTAGCGAACTTTTGTCCAAGCGTGCCTCTCTAGCTCTGCATCAGCTACCATGGCCGCCCACGGCGCCAGAAAGTCTCCGTGCCTCTGTCCTGTGTTCTTATGTGTTTACTCGACCTACGCGAGGCTCTGAAAGTCTTCTGTTACAGACTCCGCGCGTCTGAACTGAGCTCGCCCACTGGTCACTCGTGTGCCGCACCACTTGCACGTGGAGTCGTCCACGGCCAAATGGTAGGGCCCTGGCGTCGGCGATGCATTTATGAGCAGGTGTGATGGATTGGTTACAGGCGGATTGTGCAAATCGTGCAGCCTAGGTACTTTTCTCTGTCAAAAATTGCATGCTCGTATGTAAATGGTATATAAACTAACTGAAGTTCGCCGCCAGGATTAGTACATGTATTGACTCGGAAATGGCAACAATGAATTTGTGGAGATATTGGTCAATACATGCATGTACCAATGACATTCTATGAAAACTGGATGTGTATGGGTCTGGTCAGGCCTGGGGGGTTCCGTTGAAGGAATCGATGACTTTGTCATAATGTACGGTTTTGATGAACGTGAACGAAGTATCGAGCAAGCCAAATACTCTGGATGTTGTCGCAGGGACTGGGCTGGAAGCCGGTAGTGCTTCTATCACCTGAACTCTCTGTTCAGGCCACGGTGCATTGGACCTGGGCCAGCTTTCAGGAAAGGTGGCATTAAACATAACCAACTCTATCTCTTGCTCACCTACTGTTTGCAGTGTTGGGGCAGCCTAGCAAATCGTAGACTGAGCATCCCTGTACGCCATGCCGTTGGTTGGTCTTGCGTGTTCATCTAGTCAGGCGCCGAAAACTGACATCAAACATAACAATGTTGACCTGAGTCAAGCTGGCATCATCCTTAACAATATTCCAGGACGGGTGGATCCATGCCTGCACTCTATGGTACGAGACCGGTTGCCCAAGTCGACCCGCACGTTTGCCAGTTCGGTCGCCATTTGTTTCCGTCGCAATGCATTTGTCTCGTGTCGTTGCAACGTCGTCTCAGTGATTTGGTCCCGGCGTCGGCCCGTGCTGCGCAGCCTTTTTTCCAGTTCGCATGCCCTCCGTGCTATTTAGATGTGGAGATTTCCTTTCTCCCGGCTGCGATGCTGCACTAAATCCCCGCCTAGGGGCAAAATCTCAAAAATGCACATGATCACAACCAATAAATCGTTGCACTTACCATAGCCATATCTGTCTTAAGCTGCCGTCAGCGCATGCAGCGACATAAGCATGTAGAAAGCGCGACAGTTGGCCCGGGTCGGGCAAGGTCAGCTGGAAGAACCCCACAGCTCAAGTAGTATTCACTTGGATAGCAGCTAGCACTCCTAGCTCCCAGCCACTGGTGGTCTTCATTGTACTAGACTGGTGTGAAATGGTAGCTCCCGAACAAACAGGTTTTTAATAGGTTTGATGTCATTTCACAAATTGGTCAAGGTCAATGGCATATGGTGGCCTTATCTGACATAGGAACATTCTGGACAACTTTCGCGCACTGGATGATTTGCCCTATATTTGGTACGCATTGCGCCCAAAAATGGTAGTTTTATAGCTTACATTGATTGTGAGTCTATGATTTTTTGCTGAAGTTATATGATTATTAAGTCTCACTATACTAGGAAGTACTGGTTTCGTTATCAATGCTCGAGGCTCTTTTCTAATTTCGTTTATATTCAAGGTCTCAAGTTTGATCACGAGTGAACTAAAGCGCTAGCAAGTGAGCAGGGTTAAACAAGGTAAAGTAAACGTTTGTATTTCAAACCAAAACAAGTGAATGGAGAAAATGTTTGGAATCTGTGCAAACAATGCCACTAGAAATATATCAAGTAAATAAATGATCCAAGCTCCCACATCCCACCACCCGGTCACGGGCCTACGCTAAGGGTTGCGCGAAAAACGGACGGCTGAGTCGAAGGTTACGTTGACACATGCCGAGCACTGGGTTAGAAAATGGCTTAGCAAACATCAGACACCACAAACCTATACGATCCTTACAGGCATCCCGGGTATTCAGGTCCTCGCAGGAGCTTGCGTTATTCATTATTCAAAGATCTCTTTAGAGAAAATGTCTTCACAGATTCCGAGCATCTCGTAACTTCATGTGCTTTCAAATGTAATCGTTTACTTAACGTTTCTTAACTTTGATTGCTCAAAGTAAAAACACAACTTGAAACCTTGAATATTGACTAACACAACTAATGTTTGCTTGATAACGTCTTTAAACTGGTGTCGCCTGGCACATTAAAGGTTGATAATGTCAGCATAGAAATGCTGAACTACTGATGCCAAAAACTCGGGAGCTCAACTCCTGTTTTACTTTCATCAAGTTTATTGTTCTCAATAGGTTTAGCATTTAGACATATTGCTTCCAAGACCTGATGGACCTGGCCTGGCCGACATGAAAAGTAAAGCCACACGTTAACCTGGATGGGTAAACCAAGCAAATGCTGGATTCCTTAAGGTGTAAAGCTGATTTCTAGCACGTAAATTCAATGCCACAGCCCAAATGAGCCAGTAATAAAAGTTGACAGTGCTGGCTATTTCTCACAGAGAAACGTGCATAAATACACGTTGCGTGTTCTGCCTATGTGGACCTGTGGTCGCTGTAACAAGCCCCATCCATGGGCTAAGGTTCAGCACCTGCAAAACTGCAATGTTTCGAATCGCTGCAGTGACAGCCAGGACCACGGTCAGTATTTGTTTTGTGAGACAAGGGTAGGGGGAGAAGCTTAGCAAATACCCATCATATGAGAACCCGAAAACCCGTCTATAACGTCAAAATAAAAACGTCGGACCTAAGCCTGCCCTCCCCTCTGACTGCGGCCCTGACGACGGCAGCAGGAATCTGACTAAAGCTGGTGGCAATAATTTCATCGGTATTCACCTGTCTTCCCTATGCATCAGCACATCACGAATGTACCTCTCCTAGGCTGATAACGCCAGAGATGTAATCACAACAACTGGTGCATGCTGCTTCGGTCTCACTCTATCCTGTCGCTGGCGGGTCCAACCCCCGCCACGCCAGTGAGGGTCAACAACAGCCCTGTTTGCTGGCGGTGCTGTCGAGGGAGACAAGTGGACGCCCGATCCTCTTTTAGCAGGTGCCAGCCCTCAGCCATCGAGGAGAAGCATGAGGTCAAGTGCGCCCGAAACGCGATCAAGGTCACAAGCTCACGAAAGCCAACTAAATCAAGAGGGCTTGAGAAAACATAAGAATAGCATTATAAAGGTATGCAGTTCTTACACAGGGGTCCCATGAAGGCTTCTGACAGAGGCCCATTCTCTAGGACGGGCCCACTTCACATCCATATGTGCGCGCGCGTTAAGCTGGCGTTCGCGGCTGCCGCCCGCCAGCTCGGCGTCAGCTCGACCCACCTTGTAGTGCTCGTACGAGCTGCCGACGCTGAGCAGGAAGCAAGAGGCGAAGCGGGGATCGCGCGCGCCCACCGTGGCGATCACGCGCTGCACCAGCCTTTCGACGGCCGCTTCCATCGTGCCGACGGCGTCCAGCTGCTGCAGACCGGGCCCGCCGCCTGCGGCCCGGCAGGTCAGGCTCCGGGCGAGGTCCGCTTTTGTTTTTGGTCAGTTCACAGGCCATTAGGCCGACAGACAGACAGAAAGACAGACAGACAGACAGAGAGCTCAGGATGAGCCGGATGTGGCGGAGGCATGGGTCAGGCCACCAATAATTCATTTATCCTTCCAAACACGATGTTGGTCGCTTGGTATGGTCAATCCCGTCCTTTGATATCAGCCGAATTTTAGCGCGGCCGCTACCACGAGCCGGTAAACGAAGGCAAGCGCTCTAACCAACCGCGTTATCGAGACGGATAGTTGAGGTCAACTGCAGATCAGTTTGCAGGTAGTTAGGTCACAGGACAGGCCAGGTGATGATATGGCCGGGGCGGCAATGACAAACAGAACAAGCCAATGGCAAATAAACCATCCGTACTGGCTGGAGCGTGTGGTCCAGAACGTGCACTGACAAAATTTTGAGCAATGTCACTTAAACGATGAATGTATATAATCCTTGCAACGTTTGCAGCGTGGTGGTCCAAAAACTGAGAGCAGTTATTGTCTGGCCGAAACTGAGCCATATGACTGTTGAAAATGCAAGGCTATTCCATAGTCAGTGCGATATCATGCGACACCGACGACATCCAGTGTTTGGTAATGTCATCGTCCATGTGACACACTCACTATGTACATCACACACAGGTGCTATGTCATTGACTTAAATTGGACCAGAACAATTTCCACGATATCGAGGAACAGCATGTCAACTGTCCCAGGCTGGCAGGAAGTGCTCCTTATCTGGATGGGCGCCTCATTACCGGCATAGCAGGGTGGAGTATAAGCCAGGTCTTAAATTTGCGTACATATTTCAGTGGTCTGTCAAGGCAAGGAGTAGCACCAATAGACTGAGCAAAAAGTCAGTCGTCGCATGAGTATCATCTCACCACTGATTAAAACCCATGCCGAATTCGCGAACGTGCTCAGGTTTGCAACGTGTTACGTGTCAACGTGTCAATCAACGTGTTATTTAACACGTTGATCGACTGAGGTGTCACGGGTGTGCGGTGAGGTCACCCAGGCACCGGCGTAGTCGCTCGTACGTCATAGGGACAGGTCATGGGTCACCGTTACCAGAGGACAGGGCATGACCGGGGTTAGGTCACAAGCTACGCTTGCCATTTGCCTTCAGCTTGCAGTCTAGATAGTGATCAACGGTGCTCACTCGCAGCGGCCTTTCACCCGCTGCAGGGTCACACGCAGCTGGTGACACGAACAAGATTCGTCGGTCGTCAGTCGTGGGTGTTACACAATGTGTTTTCGCGTGAAATCTTACAATCAAAATAAAAGTCGGATTCATTTTGTAGTGAGAAATTATCATTAACAATTTTCGCAATGTTGTAACGACCTAAAAGACCAATGGCCGTGCCCACGGGCCACTGGCTCTGTGGATACTGTCCACACCAGCCAGCCCCCTACCTTGTGGCTTCATAGCCGAGTAGTACTCGTTGAGAGCTGCGTTGCAGCGGTCTTCGATCCACGCAAAGCGCTCGTTTAGCTTGCGCAGCTGCCGTTCGCTGAAGGTCAGGCCTGACCCAGTCAGGTGCAGAGGCCCAGCCTCGGCCGCGACCCGGCTCCGGCTCCGGCTGCGGCTCGGGCCGCAGCCCATGGCCGCCGCGAGGATGATAGCGGAGGCGTTCGCCGACCTCGACGCCTCGCACCGCACTGGCGGGCCGGCAGTCAGCGTCCGTCAGCCGGCGCGACTCCCTCCCACTCCCCCGCCCCACCCCCTCTGGCGCGACCCTACCGCGTCTAGCCGCGCCGGTGACTCAGTGGCAGAGGTGTCGCCAGCGGCGCGACCGGCCCCAGGCCATCTCGCGACACTGGTTGGAAACGTGGGACCGTTGCGTGGAGTCAGTTGGGTGGTAAGGCCGCGATGTCAGTAACGCGCGCTCGCACGGAAGAGTTATGATGTACACAGGTGCACATTGCTTTACTCCATGATTTGCGCCACATTTAGATGCGTCGGAACCATGGTTGATGAAATGTGGCAAATACCCGGCACGTTGTCCCCAGCAAAAGCTTTGTAAAGAGCCATATCTTCTTCCTACCTCAAACCAAAGAAGCTTCAGTGACTGATGTCTTCATTGTCATAGACGGCTTCCTCCGCTTCGGGTAAAACCTACGCAATCAATAAGCAAACTTTAAATCAGCAAGCGTTATCCGGGTTTACACAACACAGACCTTTGTGCTTGACAATGCCAGGGTTTCCATCGCGGTCCAATAAGTTCGGTTCTTCTACGTTCCACTTCGTTTCGTGCCGTTCCATCCAACTCCAACATGAATTATTCCTTGGCGTGGTATCGCATTACATTTCCGTTCGGCAACCCGAGGTTCCAACGCAACATTGCTGCGTAGGTAAAAAAACAAATCCGGTCTGTCTGAGCGTGGCGTCGCACCCCTGGGCATGCACGCTCTGGGCCTGACCCGCAGCCGAACTGTCGGCGTCCCCCGCTGTGGTCACTCCTGGGGCCTCCCCCACGCTGGGGCAGCGCCGGCGGGCCTCACCCGGAGCCGGACTGTCGGCGTCCCCCGCCGTGGCCACTCCTGGGGCCTCCCCCACGCTGTGGTCAGCGCCGGCGGGCTTGACCCGCAGCTGGACTATCGGCGTCCCCCGCTGTGGTCAGCGCCGGCGGGCCTGACCCGCAGTCGGACTGTCGGCGTCCCCCGCTGTGGCCACTCCTGGGGCTTCCCCCCGCTGTGGTCAGCGCCGGCGGGCCTCACCCGGAGCCGGACTGTCGGCGTCCCCCGCTGTGGCCACTCCTGGGGCCTTCCCCCCGCTGTGGTCAGCGCCGGCGGGCCTGACCCGCAGTCGGACTGTCGGCGTTCCCCGCTGTGGCCACTCCTGGGGCTTCCCCCCGCTGTGGTCAGCGCCGGCGGGCCTGACCCGCAGTCGGACTGTCGGCGTCCCCCGCTGTGGCCACTCCTGGGGCTTTCCCCCGCTGTGGTCAGCGCCGGCGGGCCTCACCCGGAGCCGGACTGTCGGCGTCCCCCGCTGTGGCCACTCCTGGGGCTTCCCCCCGCTGTGGTCAGCGCCGGCGGGCCTCACCCGGAGCCGGACTGTCGGCGTTCCCCGCTGTGGCCACTCCTGGGGCTTCCCCCCGCTGTGGTCAGCACCGGCGGGCCTGACCCGCAGTCGGACTGTCGGCGTCCCCCGCTGTGGTCAGCGCCGGCGGGCCTGACCCGCAGTCGGACTGTCGGCGTCCCCCGCTGTGGCCACTCCTGGGGCCTCCCCCCCGCTGTGGTCAGCGCCGGCGGGCCTCACCCGGAGCCGGACTGTCGGCGTTCCCCGCTGTGGCCACTCCTGGGGCCTCCCCCCCGCTGTGGTCAGCGCCGGCGGGCCTGACCCGCAGTCGGACTGTCGGCGTCCCCCGCTGTGGCCACTCCTGGGGCCTCCCCCCCGCTGTGGTCAGCGCCGGCGGGCCTGACCCGCAGTGCCGTCCCAGCCGCTTCCGGTCCTGGCCACACCCCGCGGCCGTCGAACCCGGGACAATGCCGTGCAAGCGGCCACCGTTGACGCGCTGGAGACCCGCTGTGGGCCGCAGAGACCGTATCCGACATTCGCCATTACGTGTCCGTCACTGCATTGGCTTTGCTCATATTGTGTTACTAAGTATATTGTTAGAACGTCCTTTTTTACTTTATTATTAGAACGTTACGAACGCTACTACTAGGCTGATTACAGCGTTGGTATTGAGACAATTTTTCACAATTATTGTTGTGAAATGGTCAACATCTGACCCAGTTTAATACAGTTCGGCCATACTCTACCCTTCCTGCACAAAACGTTGGTTTACCACGGATTGCCAAAGTTACCAAAAGTCCAGCACTATGCGGTGGATCGACACTGCGCTTATCCGAACGGTTATCTGCAGTGCGATCCTGAAGCACAGTATAACGCATCTAGCACTGACAATGCAACCAACGCTGGTTAACGTCTCTTACCACTACCTCTTGGTATTTTGGCGGTCGATAACTGTCAGTATAAGAACTCAGGATCAGTGGCGCAGGCAGGCGGGGGGCACGGGGGCACGCATGCCGCGTGCCCCCTTAAGTTTCGAGGGGCTCGACAATTAAGGGCCCGATTTGAACGCTTGAATGACCCGGAAAGCCGACCCGAAGTCGTATTCAGGGGCCTGGCCCACAATGCCGAACACTCCAATGCCAGCCAGAGCGCCCTGAGCCGATCGGAGGACCACTGGGTCAATAAGGGCATATATGTCGGTCAGTACCGGCGATGTGCTTGAGGGCTCATCTCCCAAACAAGGAAAATGCCGTGGCCAGCGATTTTCATTGGTCTGGGGCCCCAGGGTCTGTCAGGAACCCGCAATGCCTAGCATGAGGCCCATTGTTGGCATGGGGCCCGAGTCGATCAAGGGCAAGGAGGGTGTTCAATGAGGCTCGAAGAAGTTCCGGGGCCCTACCGAAGGCGACGAGCAAGGGCCTGATGGGGGACATAAGAGCCCGAAGAGCTGCCTGTGGGTCACATAAAAGACCCCGACCCGCAGGACTATAACCTGAAATATCGACCAAAGGGCTCCTTACACCTATCGAGGACCCCTAGGACAACGTGGGCGTCTAGTCGGCCAGAGACCACCAACACCGATCAGCTAGCTCGGTGTCGGTCTGAAGCCTGCGGGCCCATTTCCCAAGGAGGAGCAAGGCCGGGGCCTTCGAATTGCCTTGGGTTGAGTCTTTGAAGCAATGACGGGCCCGCTGTGTCGGTCAGCGGCCCGTTGTGCCTATCAGGAAGCATGTGCCCGCAAGTGGCCCCGGGTCAGTCACGAGCTTTGTTTTAGGAGGCCCGAAAAGGTACCAAAGGGCTCCTGGGGGCCAAAAAGCAAGGGCGCGAATGGAAGACTGAAAGGGCCGAAGGTTCGTAGCTTTCAATAAGGACGGGCTCCCCGCCTGCAGGGCTGTGGTCTCAAGTGTCAGTCGAAGGGCCTCTTCCATCGATAAGGGACCCGTGGGACAGTGCGGGCCTATATTTTAGCCAGAGACCACGAGCACCGAACAGTCGGCTCCGTGTCGATTTGAACCCTGGAGTCTGTTTCTCAAGCACAAGCAAGGCACAGTGTTCTATACACCAGGGGTTTTATATTGGCACGTAGACCGCGTCTCCAGCAGCTGTGTTTGAGGGGGCCTGAAGAGGACTCAAAAAGCCTACCGGGACCAAAGATCAAGGGTCCGATTGAATCCAGGCCAGCGCCCAACCCGCAGTGGCGTGACCTGAGACGCCATTCAGAGAGCATTCATTAGAACCCCCTTATAGGAACCATCTATCCCTGTTATATAGGGTGTCAGCAAAAAGTCAGTCAGCCTGTATCGGTCTGAGCCCTGGGGTCCCATTTCCCAAACAAGAACAGGACCGGACTCGCGATTTGCAATGTTCAGGGTTTCTCATACAATAAGCGGCTACTGTGTCGGTCAGGAGCTCCCAGTGCCTAACAGGAGTCCTTTGTCGGCAAGTGACCTCGAGTCGACCAGGTTTAAGGTGGCCCGAAAAGGGGTCGGAGTTCCTTGAGACCAAAGGTCAAGGGTCCCGGTTGGAGTGCATAAGGGCCTGAAGGACTGGCTGTGAGTCACATAAAGAATCGCGGTCCGTAGGGTAGTGATCTAAAATATCAGACGGCCTTTTGCACCGATTGGGTACCCCGAGACAGTGTGTTCCTCTATTTCGGGTACAAATCATCAACCAACAGCCAGCTCGTTTCGGTTTGAGCTCTGGGGCCAACTTCTTAAGCAGGGACAAGGCCGGGTCCGCGATTTGCATTCGTCGGGGCCACCGCAACAATGTGGTGGCCCCGACGAATGTGTCGGTCAGGGCCCGCGGTGCCTAACAGCGTGTCCTGCGTCAACAAGGGTCTCGAGTCGGCCATGGGAACATTTGCGGAACAGGGTCGGAACCCCAAATGCCAGAGGGCCTCTTGCATTGGTCGAAGCAAGACCAACTCAAGATCAGTGGGGGTTTCGAAGTCCATTCGGTGTGAACTGTGCGGGTCAGAAGACCTCTCGCGTCAGGGAGAGGACAAATGTGATATGCCCCTGTGTCGCCAGAATGACAACCGGAAGCCGCCCCGCGCTATGATGGAATGGCCTTCAGCACGTCACCGGGAACGAAAATGTGCCCTTGAAATCTACTCAACGGGCCCCGTACACGCTAAAAATAAAGGGTCTCATAAGTCTTAAAAATAGTAGTTGGAAATGAATTAAAACATTTAAAAATCAACCAATGTTTGCTTGAGAACGTTCATTCTTTTACAGAATCGACTAGTGCAACAAGTTGCGTCAAAACGCTTTAGACTTTGCGCTTGCAATCCCTGGAGCAACAAGAGTGATAGACGCGGTGGCAGTCTCCGTGCGTTCGCCACTGCAGGTAAAACCAGGCGGGGGGTACCGCGCGCGAGAGAAAGACCATTGTAACATAAAGCTTCCGAAAGTCTTTCGAGGTATGCCTGCACCGTTCAGAGATTAGACTGGATTAGACTGGACTGGCGTGTCTCTCTCTCTCTCTCTCTCTCTCTCTCTCTCTCTCTCTCTCTCTCTCTCTCTCTCTCTCTCTCTCTCTCTCTCTCTCTCTCTCTCTCTCTCTCTCTCTCTCTCTCTCTCTCTCTCTCTCTCTATACATCCAATATGACATTTAACA